ATTGCGAAGGCCAGAAGTGAAGGTCAGAATTAGACGGGAACCTTATATGGAAGTCGTACAGTTTATATATACACAGGGAAAATATCTACAATGTAGAATAACAGAAGCCCCTCCATCCCTCAGTCCCAAAGGTGAGTTTCTGCATTAACACACACGGGGGGGGGGGGGGAGAATATAATGCATTCAATAAGCTTTTTGCCTATTAAGATATTTTTATGTATACTTTTTTTTTTTTGTAAATGGAATCATGTGGTTTTCTGTGAGTGGGTCCTTTCATTTATAATATTGTTTCCAAGGACCACCTAGGTGGTGACAGGTGTAAGGACTTCACTCCTACTTGTGGCTGAGTGTCATTCCACTTTTTTCCATTTATCAGCTGGCAGTCACCTTTTGTCTGTTGGGAGTAGAGACTTTGTCTCGATTGTTTTGCTCAACAGGCTGTTTATGGTGTTATCCACACCTCGAAGATAGGATAGCTTGGGGTTTTTGTTTGTTTGTTTGTTTGTTTTTGTTTTTACTATCTGCCAAATAAAGCATCTTTGGCTCTTGGCTGATTGGAATGTGATGGGTTAAACTTGAGACAGGAAGAAACAGACCTCAAGCAGAGGCTGGTTTTATCTGGTTATGTCATTTATTCTAAAGGAAGAAACACAGACCAAAAAGACCAGAAGCTCACCAACTGTCTGAAGAGAAGAGCGGAAACATCTCTTTTATCTAACCGATACTATCTGGTTGTTTGTGTTGGCGGTACTGTTTCAAAGAGTCACTGTTTTTCTGTAAATAAGTTGTGATTACAGCAGTCCTCGGCTGTAAGCACTCTATAAACACCAGGTGAAGGAGAGGTAAGGGTCATGGTTAGGTCTGCAAAGCATGGAAGGCTCCACTTCCACCAAACACTCTTTCTCCATTGCAGTTGATGTGGGTGGCATCTGGTGAAAGCTACAGAGACTCTCACTGAGTCTGAGGAAAGCACTGCCTTACCACACACTTCCTGCAAGGAGCTGAGAGGTTGCCATAGCCACAGAGCCCCTGAAGAGGGTCACAGAGGGGGGCTTCACTTCCTCTCAACACAGTCAAGATCTCAGGGTGATTTTTATTGCCTCACTTAGAAAAACAAAGAGGCAACAACAGAAAAGATTATGGAAGGAGATGAAGCATGTGCGTGACGCTGGTGGGATGGGAGGAAAGAGTAGATCATGGACTTTCTTATACTATCTGTCTATTTGAAGACACAGTCCTGCTGTAGTGAGCCATGCCACTGATCCTCTGAGTGTGGCCTCAGTTTATCGGCCTTTCAATACAAAGAAGATGAACCAGCTGGTCTTTCAAGGGAGCTCTAGCTGCAGCCATCTTGGAGTATTGTTAATTCCAGACGTTTCCTGATTAAGAGTGTACGTGTCAATTTCCTCATCTGCAAATTGACCTTTGTAAGGCTATTGGGAGACTTGAATACAGAATAGTTCCTGGAATATAGTCCCCGGGCATTGATTATTAGGGTTATTAGTTTCCATTATTATCACATGCTGCTGTATAGCATCTGTTGGAAGCCATGAATTACATTGCTTGTCTTCATCTGAGACATGTTTCAGTGTCTTTCTTTCTGTCCAGAGGACTTGAAAGTGATTTTGTAGAAGATAATCTCAAAACAAAGGTATGCTATTGTCAAAGACAGTCTGATGCTTTGAGGTCTTGTCATGCTGAAGTATGCTTTAAATGGCTCTGACGTACATGGTCCACACTGTGGGGGTGAGGGTGGGGGCGGGGTTGGGGATTCTTCTCTTAAAACGAACCCCTTTTAAGTCACCATTGCATCTTTGATGACATCCTGGAATCACAGAAGTGTAAGAAACCCAGGTTAGGCTCCTGCCTGAAGGGTGGGTCACCAGAGTGTAGATGCTGCTGCCTGCTTGAGGATAGCCAGGGAAGGGACACCTGCTCACAGGACCTGACTGACCCTCTCTCTAGATAGGCTCAGGCTGAAGGGAAATGCTAAGACTGAGGGCAGAGTGCCGACAGAGCCACGGGAGAAGTGACACTGCACCTTAATGTTCAAACCAGAAAAAAAAAAAATCACAGCTCATGGCTAGGCAGAGGACTGGATTATTAAAGGAGGCGTCAGTTGAAGAACTGGCCGAATAGGTATGAGATCCTTCTCCATGTCCCTTCGCTAATTTAAGTCACATAATCACTTGAGTGTTCCCGGGAGTGTTTGGATAGGCCTGGAGTACAGGAGAAAAAAATAATTTTTTTTTGGAGATGTTGTTTTAATTTTTTTATATTTATGAGCATGAATTTATATACAGAAGTCTGCAGAGGCCAGAAGAAAGAATTGTGTCTCCTGTCACCTGCCATACGGATGCTGCAGATTGAACTTGGTCCTCTGCAAGAGCAGTAAGCATTATTAGACATTGAGTCATATCTCTAGGCTGGGGTTTATGTTTTTAAAGTTTCCCCGAGGATATTCCTGACCAGCCAGGTTCCTAGAATAGATGTTAACTTGAAAACACACAGTAAGCATTTGGTGAACTCATTCATGCAACTACTAACTTTGTACTAAGCATAGTAGGAACAAGGTAAAGTGGAGAAATACAGAAACACATGCACATGTCATTAACACAGTCTATAACCTAGAAGCTTCAGTTAATAACAGGGGACATGAACATAATCCACCTCGTAAGACTCTGAGTATACTGGAGAAACAGCATGATTGAGTCAGATAGCGAGTGTATAAAACATAGAAGGAAAACCTCACACTCTAACTGTCCAGAACACAGACTTGTAGGGCATTTCTGAAGTTTGCCTTTAGACTTACCTAAGAAGGGATAGAATATTTGGTAAGTGAATTCAAAATATTAGCAAGAACAAACGTCTGAACAGTCTGAGCAAGCAAAAGATATTTATATGTCTCAAAACGGCTCAGCAACAAGAATTGATTTCATTTGTCATTGATGTGGGCTGTTTGAAGCTTTCCACCGATTTTATTGAGGATTCGACAGAACGTAATGAAAATGTCCTTGTTTAGGCTCAGCACAATGCAGAGTCTTAGTTCTGTGCTCTTTGTAATTACTTCATGTTACTCAAGCTCAACTGTTTTCCAGCAACTCAGGCTGAGGAATGAGATGAACTGGCTATATATGTGTCCTAAGCCCAAATCAAGAAAATGCAGGCTCCTGAGAATTACTTTTGGAGGTCCTGTTTCTGCAGATCTGCCATGAGATCTTAGAACCTGTAGCTTTGTTATAATTATTTATCGTGTGTGTGGGGGTTTGGGGGAGATGTATGTGGAGGTCAGACGACAACTGTGGGAGTCAGGTCTCTCCCTCCATCATGCGCGTCCTGGGTGGTGAACTCAGGTTGTCAGGCTTGATGGAAAGATCCTATACCCACTAAGCCATGCCACAGGCCCCTGAGAATCTGCATTTTAAACATCTGCAACAATTCAGACATAAGGTCTATTGGGAACCAGAAGAAATGATTAATTGCTGAGGACCAAGGAGAAACGAGCATCCAAGGACTCAGCTCAGTTCCTTCCCTCTGGGTCCACTTTCCAACTTCTTTGATCTTGGTATCTTTCCCACTCACCTGTGATTGAGTGAGATTCAGTGGCCCAGTAGGGTCCAGTTGCAATGGCAGTGACTAACTATGCACCGGGCCAGGAGAACGTAAGGGTAGCATCCAAGGGTAACAGATCAATGGCGCTCTGTTGTACTCTGATGTTCAATTTGTCCTCACTGATGCATGGGGGCCCAGAAGGCAGAGAAGAAATCCCCACAGTCACCCACTGAGTTGATGACAGAATAAAGACCTGGACAGTGGTGCCCATCCCATCATATCCTGCTTCCTTTCTTCTCATCCATCTTTCCCTTAACTCTGAGATCCCTGGTGAGGTCATTCTCTCTCTGCCAGACTTCATGGCTTTTGAGAAGAAACTGTAGGTGAAAAATCTGTGGGATTCCTGTAAACTACAGCCCCTCCAGTAATCCATCCCGGAGAGCCAGAGACGAGTAAAAGCAGAGCAGCCCTGAGGCCAAGGTCACCGCAGCAGTAACATTAGCACTGAGGCCCAGCATCTCCCCCCTTTCCATTCCTGTGCTTTCTGGCCCCCAAAATCCTCAGAATATTCATCCATAGACTTGAAAGCCATTGTGAAGCCAACATAGGAATCTACCATATTAGCATAACCATATGGAGACCGTGCAAGTTCCTTTCAGTCAGTAGACAGATGAAGCATACTCACCGTGTCCATAAGGAGCTTTTCAGCTTTGTCGCGGCTGATGCTTTTATTGTACCACCTGAAAGCCAAAAACAAGTCATGTGTCACAGTTTGAATACTTCATTGCTTACTTATAAAAGATAATGCTTGAAAATCATGTGTTTGCTTTCTGCTTCTACCAGTGACTTCAAACTCAAAAGGAAAGCCATGACCATTTCCAGGTAGTAGGGTGTTTATCTGAAGAAAGAAAGAAAGAAAGAAAAAACAAAACAAAACAAAACAATAAAGCAAGAATTGGTATCATTCTGGTAATTGTTGAAGCTGAGTTTCAGGGCCTTCTTTTTCTAATGCACTCTACTTTTGTGCAGGTTGGAAATTTTCCATGATAGTGTTGCAGAAAACATTCATCTCTCCCATTTCATGTGTCAGTGGGTGGCTGTAAGTAGGAGGGTGTTAAGCAGCCATAAAAAAAAAAAAACGTTAATTCTAATTTGCAAGTTTAGCAACTATCCTTTGAAAACAGTTGCCATATTCTCTTCTTAAGATTGGGCCTCCAGACTTTTTGCAAAGTTTTTGTAGTTGATGAATGTAGTTAATAAATGGCAAAAAACAGGAATAATTTTTAAGAATGAGGTTTTTGAATGTTATTACAGGGCTGAGATGTATTTTGACCATCCAAATCATTTAGGTAAGAGACAGTGTGGAGAAGGGACTGACTGCCACAAGGCTAAGAAGAAGAAAGACAGGAAATGGCCATGCAGGCTATTCAGTATCCATGCATGTGTATTCCTGCAGGATGGTCAGTAGCCCATGTAGATATGCAGATATGTATGCAAGTTGGCCAATAGACCCATGTGGATGTGCAGGCTGGCCACACCTCTCCCTCAATCCCTCACTTGCCCATCCCTTCTCATTCTAGCCCTTAGTGGTAGTTTAAAGCATCCAATTGAATATATGCTACCGTATATACGATACAAAGAAGACAAAAAATAAATAAAAGCCTCAGCCCTCTAACGTTCACAGATCTGCAGCACTTGAATAATAATTCTCTAGAAGCCTGAAGGTTACTTCCTGGTAAAGGAAGCCTACAGGGCCTAATTTCTGGACCAGAAAGCCTACAACAAAAGTAGAATGGTCATCAGTTGACAATTTATTTTGGAAGTTAATAGACACAGGAGCAGCTGTAGGTGGGGAAGAAATAGTATCTACAGAACTTGTTTGGCTACTCCAGAGCATCCAAGAAGAAGAGAATCAGGAGTATGTGAGGGCAGACTGTATACCTCCACAGGTCCCAGAGGGCCAGCAAGCATGCTTCATCCCATCCAAGCTTCAAGCAGTGTGTATGGGTTGCTAGAGCTGTGCATCTAAAGTGTGAAACAAGTCGGGTTCAGTGGACAGTAGTGTCGTGTCATAAAGTAAGGTCTGCTTGAGTTCAGTGTGCAGGGAATGAGGAAGTGCAGTGTCTTGCTTGCCTCTGCCTTGCATGATCCCACCTTGAGCAGAGGAGGGATCAGAGTCAAATGGGGCCTGGTACAGGAGCCTCACTTCTGCAGTTCTGCTGTTTTGTCATTTCAGTTGCTCACAGTCAACCCATGGTGCCAGCAAATACCGAATGGATGCTTCTAGAAATTAAGAACTCTAAGTTCTGAGTAGCATGATGAAATCTCATGATGTTTATCTAGGATATAACTTACCCTTGAGACAGCATATCTACTGACATATACTACCTACCTATTAGTCACATGGTAGCTGTGTGGGTCACTAGATAGATTGCCACAGTACTGCTGTGTCTGTGTTCAAGTGACTCTTATTTAATGCAAGAGAAGTTATGATGTTATAACCTCTATTTCATCACTAGACATTAGTGTTAATCTTTCAATGTATCTAATTTAAAGTAAGCCCTCCCACAGGCTCTAGATAGAGGGAAAAGCATAGTATATCCTGAGCTCAGAACTACCTGCAGTTTCAGGATACCCTGTAGGTCATAGAACACACTCCCAGGAATTAGTTGGCTACTGCAACCTGTCCAAGGTCCCACTTCTAAACTGAGGCAGGAAACCTGAATCCAGTTAAGTCACCAACCCATGATACCTTACCAGTTGGTACAGTTTTGAGTTCTTTTGCAAAACTCACCTGAAAGTAGTCAAAATTAAGTTAAAGAATTAAAAAGTCTGGATAGCTTTCCTATGTCTAGCTATATATTAAATATCAGAATATTTCCTTATGTTATATAATTTTCTAGCTGGGCTTCCATAACCCAGGAAATGAAAGATGGCAGTGTATGGTCCAAATGGGTTCACTGACCATATGGTTTTTATTATGAAAATGACTTAAAATTCTTCTAGGTCGGGGATACGGATTTTTACTTACCGCCTGGGGCCCATCAATTCCCTACTGGTTTTTATTTTGTTGAGGCCTTGAATTTGCTTCTTGAATCATAAACAAAGGGATTTTGATAAAGTGCCAAAACAAACACAGCTATTCAGCGAAGCAGTCATTTAAAATAAACAACTGTCTTTTTTTTCCTCCAAAGGCATTGACCATAAAACAATTATTTCAGCTAAGTATCTCTCATCTATGTTTCATCTCGGCACAAACATCCTTGGAAAGGATGAATCATCTCTCAGCCCAGGGAAGGGCTATTCACACATATTTGATCAAAATATTGAGAGACACTCTTAAGACAATGATAGCACTTGGTTCCTGGCACCCATTCAGACTGCAGAAACCGTTACCTTGGTCATTGACTCCTAATTCGTTAGTGGAAGTTCTAGTTATCGAGTATCTTTTTTTCTCTGGTGTTTTATATTTAGCGAGTACTAAATTTTTTTTGCGGTGGGGAATTATTTCATCGTCGGGTCATAGTCCATTATCAAGGGAAGCCAAGGCAGGACCCTCAAAGGAGGAGCTGGGAGCAGAAACCATGGAGGAATGCTGCTGACTAGCTTATTCCCAGGCCCATAGTTAGCTATCTTCTTTTTTCTACCCCCCCTTTTTAATTTTTGAGATTATAATTTAATTAAAACAATTCTCCCTTCTCTTTCCTCCATCCAAACCCTTCCATGTGTCCCTCCCTGATCGTTCCCCAATGCAAAGCCTATTTTTTCACTGATTGTTAGTGCACATCATCCTAACTGTAACCTGCTCAGTCTGCAGAATGCTACCTGTACGAATGTTTTCAGGGCTGACCCCTGGGCAGTGGGCAACCCATTAACGTGATCTTCCCTCAGATGCTTAGAGTTCTTTGTGTGGGGGTGAGGCCTTGTGGGCTTCTCAGCATCCAGTTTGTCAAGTTCATCGGTGCTCTCCTCGTTCAGTTCCCAGGTGAGCAGTCCTGTTAGTGAGGCTTTAGGGTGTAGCTGCTGACTTTACCAGGAGAGGCACTCTCTCAGCAGATTCCCGAATACTCTGGCTCTAACGGCCTGTCTGCCTCATCTCCTACGATGTTCCTGAGCCTTGGGTAGCAGAGTGTTTTATAGATATACCCACTGGGACTGGGCTCCACAACTCTGCATTTCAGGGCAGGCAAGATGGCTCAGGTAGTAAAAAGTGATTGCAGAGACTGCATGATTTCAATCCCTGGAACACAGGTGGAAGGAGAGAACCAACTCTAGAAAGTTGTCCTCTTACTTCCACACATCCTTCATGGCACATGCAAGCACACTCGCACAACAATAATAAAGTTTAAAATTGTTTCAGAGTTATAGGAAAGTATAAAGCAACGCCCATTCACCCTTTACCTACATGAATTAGTGACTGAAATTTTATATATTTACCACTCTCTCTAGATAATTTAGGCATATGGATAGGCATATGTAATTATTCTATCTATCTATCATCTATCTATCTATCTATCTATCTATCTATCTATCATCTATCTATCTGTTGTTGTGTGTCTATGATATGATATATCATTTGCCGTGATACATGTGTGTGTAGGACAGAGGACATCTTTATGGAACTCCTCCTCTCCTTTCACCTTCATGCACATTTGGGAATCAAACTCATGTCATCAGAGAACAGCAAGCACTGTGCACATCAGCCCTGGCATAGCTTTCCTGCATTACTTGAGAGTAGACTTCTACTCCTGAATACTTAGTGGGTCTGTTTCCATGAATGGTAATGTCTACAGATATTTTGTCTAGTTGCAGACCTTACCAAAATTGTATTACTTTTCTTAGTACTGTGCTGGTAACAAAACATTTTTATGGTTATAGATCCAATCGCAGATTACTTATGTATTTAGTCACTGTATTCCTTAGTTTTCTTTAACGGGAACCAATTTCTCAGCCTTTTGTGGCTTTCATCATAATTGGTTTTGAAGAGTAAAGGCTATTATTTTATAGAATATGCCTTCATTTGGACTTGCTACTGTATCCTCATGATTAAGTTCCTATTGTGCATGTTTTGGAGCAGGAATAACAAACACTATTTTGGAGCCGTATTGAGGCGGATGTTGATTATAAGATAGGGTCTACCAGGTATCTCCATCTTGTAGTCACACTGATTTGTGAAAGGGTAACTTTGAGCCTATAAATACACTAACGCCATATCACATTGTATATCACAACTACCCTGTTGTGACAGCCATTGATTTTGCCAGGTCTGATACTTTTGAGCTACAAATGCTGGTTTTCAAGCTTTGTCATCCTTCTACATGCATTCTTTTTTTTTTACATTCTCCTAAGAACGAACGGCCTATTTACTTAGTTGCTTACCTATTACTCTATTTTATGGATTATTATTTTATTTAATGAGTTATAGTCTACCACTATCTTCATTTGTTTTGATGCTCAAACTGTCCCAGTTCAGTCAGTAGGAACACTAAAAAAAAAAACTTACTTCTGTGCCTGTTTGGCATGATTAAATCACTGAAACGAAATTTCAAAAACATTTTTTTAGTTCTTTCTAGTGCAACAAGATATTCCAGGTCTGTCTTGTTCTTTTCTTGCCTCAGCCCTGGAGTCTGCATTCTCCACTGCTTCCAGAAATTACAGCTGTCTTTAGAGGGGAATATCATTCAGAACTAAGGTCACAGCGGTAGGTGTAGAGCTTCTAGCCTCCAAGCTAGGGAGTACATATGCATAGTGGGTACTTTGTACACTGGATCAAATTTTATCAAACATTTGACATTTCTACTGAAATAGATCCATGAACTCTTCTTGTAAGCAACAGCTTAGCGATAAGCACTTAGCACAGCCTGTTGGGGGTACATTGTGTGAAGGTGTGTCTCTGTATTTTCAATTGTTGATTGCTAAACCGGCTGAGGGCTAAGTACCAGCTGGATCTTGGCGTTATTTCCACGGCCCATCGCCAGTCTTATATTTTGTAAATATCTGTCCTTCCTTACTTGCCTACTGATTATATAAATAAAGAGCTGACAGCCAATAGCTGGGCAAGAAGTGGAGGGTGGAACTTCTGAGAGAGGGGTTAGGGGGGAAGGGAGGAAGCCTGAAAAGCTTCAAAAGCGGGAGATTCGAAAGCAAACAGGGAGGTAGAAGGAGGTGATGGACTAGAGCAGAGCAGAGAGGTAAAACTAGGAGTAGTTGGGTTAAGCTAGATAGATATCTGGGAATCTGCGCAGCTAAAAGGCCTAAGCTTTAAAATATTAAAAAGCCCCTGTGTCATTATTTGTGCTGCTGGTGGGTTCGAAAGTCGAGTTACACCGCCCAAGCAGATACTTGGATATACCTGTGGGCATCAATGTTGTCCTGATACTGGAAATACTGTGTTTAACCATGGCTTAAGTCAGTTGATAAATTATCCAATATTCATAGGGATTTTATTTCTCAAGTGATACCAATACTTGGGATTTCCAGAAAAGACTTCTCTTTTCAGAGTCTTTTCAAGGCCCCTATGAACCATTCCATTATAAAAGGAAAAGGCAGTATGCTGACCACATTCCCTTTTCTCTTATTTGGGCTAAACCTTTACTGTTTTAGTGATCAAAGACTAGAAAAAAAAAGAGGGGGGGGGAGAAAGGAAACCGTTGAATACTTTTATAGCAACCAATAATTTATGTTGGACCTAAGAAGAACATTTTAGTATCATAGATCTAAAAAGCTAATCAAAGCAGAATCTGGTGATAAATGCTTTTAACCCTAGAACTTAGAAGGCAGAGACTGGTTAATCTTGACCTTTAGAACAAGCCAGTCTGGTCTTCATAGTGAATTCCAGACCAGCCAGACCTTTCCTCAACAAACAAACAAACAATATACAAATGAGTGATTTAAAAAAGTATCTTACTCATAGGTTTCAAGGTTATTTGGAGATTTTTCCACCAGGTAACTGCTTGGTGCATACCCTTCATGCCTGTAAAAAGAAAAACTAGTGTTTAGACTAGCAGACAACTGATTTTTACATTTTCATTTAATAGATTTAATCCACTAATGTCCTTTAAGAATGGAAAGCCTCATGGTATTTGGCATTTGTGATAAGACATTTGAAAAATAGAAATAAGATAGCTGACGAAAGTAACAAAGGTATGCTTGGTTGAAAGCAACATACTCCAACAATAAACCTAAAATATAATAAATAACAAATGGCTATTTTACCTAAAGGGCTCTGCTTGCTGTTCTCATCATAAAATTTCCTCTATTGGAAAAACACCGTTCAAAATTTATTTTCTATAATTAGTTTGTGTGATGTTAGTATTTCTCCACTTTATGATATCATTTTCAAGCAAGGAAATAAAAATAATTAAGATATAAAAAGCCAACTTTCCAACCACATGTCCTTAAAGACTGTTCACAGTTGGTGATATACACGTTTAAAAATCTCCCTAATTGAGCATCTTCAGATTAAGAACCATGAGGATAAGGATAAGGTCAGGAAGAGAAGATGGCCTATGCCTGTGATCTTGGAATTCGGGAGGCTGACGCAGGAGGATAGCTGTGAATTTGAGGCTGGCCTGGGTTACACAGTGAGTTCCAAGCCAGCCTGAGGTACAGTGTGAGACTCTGTATAAGATATTAAAAAAAAAAAAAGTCAAGGTCAGGCTGGATTCCAAGGTGAAGTCTAACAGTTGAATTGGAATTGATAATACAGAAATGAAACATGACAAAAGTTATCGAGCATTTTCAACACTTTTTACATTGTATATAGCTTTGTAGATCTTGAAGACACTTCGTATTCATCCCTAGCACCAGAAAGCTGGTAAAGAATCCCCTCAACTCTCTCGGCTTCTAGTTCTTACAAGCGAAGTGAGTAATTTAAACTTGATTTCATGTAAAATACCTCTAGATTCTGCCAATGTACATGAAGATGAACAGAAAGACTCCCTTCTCTCACCCTCTCAGAGCTTAGTAATAGCCAGTGTTGGCTTTCTGTAATTCTGTTGGGAGGTATGCAAGTTTGTTAAAATTCTAGGAGAAATTATCTGGAAAGATGAAAACATCATATACTCTGACCTAGCATAACTCAACATCTCCCCAGTCAGAACTGGGATATATGCGCATACATATACGCATGCATCCAAAAGATTGTCATCGCCTGGTCTTCACTCAAGCTTTGTTGAAAATAACACATACGGGGCTGCAGAAACGGCTCCGTGGTTAAGACCGCTTGTGCTTGCAGAGCACCTGGGTTGTTTTTTGTTTTTCGTTTTCTTAGAATTATTTAATGTGTGAATGTTCTACCTGGATATATTTATGTGTACCGTGTGTGTGTGCATTGGATCCCCTCACACTGGAGTGAACCATCATGTTGAGATGTTTTTCATTCAAAACTCCACAATAGGGCCATTAGGATTTGTAGAACCCTGTTGTGTCCATGCATTATTTAATGATTGCTCTTCTAACGACATCTCCGGTGCCACCTGAGGCTTTCTAACATAACCGCTGCTCTATGCCATCTTTACACACTTTTTCTTTCCGCTTACTTCACAATGTGGTGCATTTAAAATGTATTTAAAAACATTAAGGACATCACAGAGCAAGTTGCCAAGCACCCAAACTGCCAATATCAGTGGAAAAATCAGGGGCTTTTAGATGAGTTGAGGACAGGGGTAGGTTAAGAGGAGGTACAGGGATTAAGTATGGTGAGTGTAAGCATCACTGCTACTTCTGGAAAGAATGACCATCTCACTCCTCTCTCCCTCCCACTGTGATCAGCTCTGCTTTCTTAATTCAGCCTCAGGGCAGCTGAAGGACGTGGGACATGCCTTCCCATATCTGCACTGTTCCCACAGTAGCCATGCACTCCTCTTACCCATTCTTGTCTTGAACCCTCCACCAGTGGGTCTCAGAGCTGTCCAGCAAATAGTACTCTTCATCACACTGCAGCGCAAGCTCCTGGGGATCACTGGTTTGGTAGTCGTACAAGGCAATGACCAGGGTTTCTTCTGGTTCCTGAAGTGACCGCTGCGGAAGAGACAGTAGAACCAAGCAAAGACACAAGAAGGTGGTGAGTTCCTGGGATCCTAGATTTTAGGCTAGGTCAACCTGGCAGCTCTCTCCATCCATTGGAGTTCTTTGCAGAGACAGCTGCTTTCCTCAAGTTAAAATTCTTTAAAAATTAGAATTATAGATCTGAGCAGATACAAACAGTAACAGTACCTACTTCTCTCATTCTGTGAGGCAAATTCTGATCCCAGTGAATTCCAATAAGCCATGTAATCTTCTCAGAAATTTATTGGTTTTTATACTGGTTCATCTGATTCATGGGTTTGCCCAGATCCATCAGATCAGAGGCTACCAGGGCCCCAAGAACTCATTTAACCAGTGATTTCATTTAGAATGGGAAATCAGATCCATGGCAAGAAACAGACATAGCCAGTTGCTAGAAAATTATCTCAGTGCTCCCTCCACATATGGCTCCCTTTTTCCTCTTGCAGAAACCTTGGCCTATGCCTCTGTCCCATACCATATTTCAATTAATATAAGATATTAATGACATGAAGAAAAGCTCAGAAGACAAACAACTGCCAGAGATCAAGATGAGCATATCCGAGACTGAGTGACAGGCTTAAGAACAGACTAAATATGGGAAAAGATTGAGTTACTGGCCAGAAGGTGATGTAGTGTTGGGGAGTCACAAATTCCAGGTACACTGACGTCTGCGTAGTTAATGGAGCTTGAAATAAGGTGGTGGGTGGGCTGACTCCTCCACACGGCTAAGTGCCTGTGGACCTGAGGCTTTGAATAGAACTAGGATATGGAGAAACTGTGTCCAAGGCACCCAAAGAAGGTACAGAAGTGATGCTATGTTGTCCAGGTTATTATAGATTCAATTCCCCGATTAACCCTTAAAAGAAAGAGCTAGGGAGTCTCACGATGGGGGTGCATTTCCCAGGAGTCATGCAGAACACATAGTGGGATACTCAGATATCACCAAGTTTGAGGTGTACCATGGGTATTTAATAGGCAAGGGCCAAGAATGCAAAATGTTCTGCTGTGTCTCACAGACTTTTCTTTGCAGAGACAGCTGTTTTCCTCAAGTTAAAATTCTTTATAAATTAGAATTATAGATCTGAGCAGATACAAACAGCAACAGTACCTGCTTCTCTCATTCTGTGAGGCAAATTCTGATCCCAGTGAATTCCAAGAAGCCATGTAATTTTCTCAGAAATTTATTGGTTTTTATACTGGTTCATCAGATTCATGGGTTCTGAATCCAGCTTCTGAATGTCCCAGTAGATATCCACATAGGGAAAACCCTGCATATAATTCTAGTACACAAGCGGCTTCTGTTGCACAATGTGTAGCTCACTGGACTTTTATAATAGTCAGGAAGACCCAAAGGCTAGGTGCCCAATAAAAAAGACTGGGTATTCCAGGAGTGCTTACACTCGGTTCAATTTAGAACACTTTTGGGAATTGTTTGCTGTTTTGGAAAATCATATCACTCATGGAAACACTAGAACTGGACTATCAACAAAACATTCCTGGATCTACGACACTTAAGTTGCCAAATTCAGTGGGTTCTGTCTATGGGTTTGGGCATTTCATGATGACTTCCCATACACTCATGGTCCCATATTTAAACTTAGGAATATAGTTTATTCTGGTTTTTTTGTTTTGTTTTCAATAGTATATTGCATTTATTTATTCTCTTAAGAAGGACTTGAAGGACTCGTTTTTGTAAATCCTTTAACACTATTTAAGATAAAAAAAAATGTCTTTTTCTTTATGCGTACGTGCATGTGTGTGTGTGTGTGTGTGTGTGTGTGTGTGTGTGTGTGTGTGTTGTGCTTGCCACATGAGCTCTGGTGCTCTCAGAAGAAAGCATTGGATCACTTGGAGCTGGAGTTTCTGGCAGCTGGTTGTGAGCAAAGCAGTAAGAGCGTGGGACAAGAACTTGGATCCTCTTGAAGAGCAGTCATTGCTCTTTACGGCTGAGTCATCTCTCTAGCCCCTACTTATGGATTTCCCCTTAGGGTAACAGGAGGATCTTTACAAAACATTTCTCATAAAACAGAGGGATTAGGTCTTAATCACTAGATTAAGTCAAGGGTTGGCATTTGTAGAAAAAGAGGGTAAAGAGGCTCAAGAAGGACCGGTTGAGGCCCTGGGGTGAGAAGGACGGGCTTGCAGTAGATGAAGGTCTTATTTCTTGGTCACTACTGCATGGCTGAGAATGGTTCTGGCTGCTAGGAGCTCTCCTGGTTGTAGGTGAGCAGAACTCCACAATGCTGAGACCTCACAGGTCAGACAAAAGTGGCAAAAAGGGTACCTTGCTTGGGAGCCAGGGGACAAGCAGATACATTTATGTGGCACCTTAGGAAGATCTTCTGGGTGAATTAGGAGAAATCTGACAAGAAGAGCTGAGCTCTGTAGTGGAGAGAACCAGGAAAAACTGGGGTCTGGACATGTGGACATGCCTCACTTGCACCCACAGGATAGAGAGCCTGGGTATGGGTTCCCCTGACTGTCGACATCCTCCATCTTGACTAACAGCAGCTACCCTGGTCCTCTGGAGGACAATTCCACAGTCTTCCTCAAGTAGAGCATGTTTTGGTTAGCCTCAATTGTCAACTTGATAACAACTAAAAATTATCTAGAAGAGAATCTCAGTTGAGAAACTTCCAAAATCATATTGGCAATCAGGGGATTGTTTTGTAGTTGATGCAGGAGCTCACTGTGGCCAGTAATACCCTGAAAAACATAAGAAAGCTAGCTAGGCAACAAACATCTGTGGTTTCTGCCGCACGTCCTTAGCTTTCAAGTGGGTTCCTTGGTTGGAGGTAAGGCTATATGGACTAGCAAGCAAGCCTGCCTTCAAGCTCCTGCCTTAACTTCCTTCAATGATAGACTATAACTTGGAATTTAAGAAAAATAAACCCTTTCCTCCCCTACACTGCTTTTGGTCAAGTTATTTTTTAACAGCAAGAGAAATGAAAATAAAACAGAAGAGCATAATGCCTGAAAGCATGGTGTAAAATATTGTTTCTCTGTATGACAACCTGAGATGCCATTGCCCTGCAGGGAAGAGACAGAAAAGGGGAAGTGAGAAATGATTTCAAGTGGCAAGGAGTAACAGAAACACTGCAACGGTTCTAGATGTATGGGCTGCATGGAGGACTCCAAACCCTTGTAGTGGTGGAGTTCAAGGAGTGATGGGCAAGCAGCATGCTCTGGCTTCACCTTCACTGACATTGACAGCAAGGGAAGAATAGGGTAACGAGAGAACGGGGAAGGGTGCTGGGTTTGGGGGGCCCACTAGAGGGAAAAAGAGAGGGCAGTGGGCTTCCAAGCCACGGCTGCAAGGCAGCTCTTGGAATAATGCTCAGAAGGTCAAGGAGAGTAGCAGACACCTGGTTTTCTGCAGCAATGTGAGTATCTCTGCTGTGATGTTTGAGTGTCAGCTAAGGAGAGATCTGGAAGTTAACCTGAGGCTGGAGGATTTAGAGTTTCCCCTCTGAGGATGCTGCCACTGTGGAGACATCACTGTGTTTGGCCCGAGGAGACAATCAGAGCTCACTCTTCAGGAAGAAGCATGAAGGAGCCAATTTGGAAGTTTCTGAGGGCGCGTACCCGAACGGGAGCACTGATGTTAACGTGGCCAGAGTGTGAGGGCTCTCCAGAGCTGGTTCTACAGGCCAGTCGTGTAAATCAGTTTACCACAGAGCAGTGCTTCTCAAACTTGAGTAGAGCTCAGAATCGCAGGGATGTATTACTATGCAGATAAAGAGCCTCTCTCCCAGTGTTACGGCTGGAGGGGGAGGGGTTGGTGTGTTCTTAAAGTGTGGCTGATGCTGGACGTCTGTGGACCATTTCTGGAGAATAACAACTCCAAAACCCATACACCAGAAGCTCCAGGTCCTGTTAGTACTGAATTGCCTTGGGGAAAACCCCAAGACTTGGTACTTGTTTTGCTAAGTTTGGAAGGGCTTTGGAATATATAAAGTATCATCAGGTGTTTGTCTCCGGAGTATTCTATATTGAGTCATAAAGAAAGCTAAATACTGGTGTTTGCGGACTGTGTATAGCAAGGTGGTGGTAAGGACCTTCATGGTCTTTTAAATGGACAGACCCACTTAATAAGTGGTTCTAAATCTGTTTCACAATGGTCGCATATCATACAACCTGCGTATCCGATATGTACGTTATGATTCATAACAGCAGCAAAATTACAGTTATGAAGTAGCAATGAAAAATAACTATGGGTGGGGATCACCACATCATGAGAAATTATTTTTTGTTTTGATGTTGTTGTTTTGGTTTTGGTTTGATTTTTCAAGACAGGGTTTCTCTGTGTAGCCTTGGATATCCTGAATTTGCTTTGTAGACCAGGCTGGGCTCAAACTCAGAGAGATCTGCCTTCCTCTGCCTCTCTGAGTGCTGGGATCACAGGCATGTCCCTCCGCACCCAACTGAGGAGCTGTATTAAAGAGTGGCAGCATTAGGAAGGTTGAGAACCACTGTACCCCATAGTCCCCAAAACCAATGTGTTAGATATACCCCAATTGCTACTGTTCACCACATGCGCAGAGACCTAAGAAAAGCAGAGAGACCACAACTAGGCTTACAGCACAAGCCCACCTCACTTACCCTGTTGTCTTCAGGAGTAGGAGGAAGAGGCTTCTTTGAAGCTGAAACAATAAAAACCAGAAAAAGATGAACATGAAACCCCAGTTTTTCAGAGAAAAGGGGCCCAAGGAGAGGAATGGAGAAAGGGGCACAAAGAGATGATGAAATAGAGGCACCAGAATCAACTCTGGTAGAACCTGTCTTTCATCTCTTGCACTTGCTAGTTTCCAATTCCCTTTTCTGGAAGATACTAGAAACTTCCAGATGTCAGTATTTTTGGATTCCTTCTGTATCCCCTGACTGGGGAGGGGCCAAGATTTGGGACCTTCTCTGCAGGTAGCAAGACTTCCATGAATACATGTTACCTTCTGAGCTCAGGAGTGGGAATGTGTGACTCAGAGACAGTGACTCACAACCTTCCTGATGTCACTGTGGGTTTGATGAGGTGGGAGGGCACTGTGCTTTCTGAGTGGGCTGAGATTGCTGTTAGTTCTCTTGAGGCATTTAAGTATGTATTCTTGATGCCTTATTCAAACTACACACCTTCAAAGTCAATCTCTCTCTTTCTCTTCTTTGTGTCTTCATATCTCCTTTCACTTGGCTTGCATCTCTTCTTTCTTGCTTCTTTTCTCTTGTTTTTAACCCTCTCTACTTTCTTTTTTATTTCTTTATCTTTATCTATGGACCATATTCCTATACCACATCACAGTTCAGCCCTCGAAATAATGGACAAAATAGTGTGTGTGTGTGTGTGTGTGTGTGTGTGTGTGTG